TTTGGAGCAGGACTGCCCGGGCTCAAATCCTAGCTGTGCCACTATGTAACCTTGGGCAAGTTACTTTTCTGTGCCTCTGCAGACACATCTGTAAAATGGGGATAGCACCACTTCATTCATGATATAAATCGACATATGGGCAACACTTTGTATAGAAACTGGTATGTAGTCAGTGCTAGATAAATATTTGCTATTTCAGACCAGTCTTGGAGTGTTAAAGGAAAAGAATTCACAAAAACAGAGGTAAAACCTGGGGAAGGGATAGAGAGACAGGGAGGAAAACTCGATGGCTGAAGAGAAGACACAGAAGGCAAACAATGAAAAGTTGATTGTTTCCAAGAAATAAAAAACCAACTACAAGATATCGAAGCAATGGGCCAAGCAAAGCAAAGCTGTTTTTTCCTTGTTCTGTGGACGGCTCAGCTGCCAGACGTTTCCATTTTCCGGTCTGGGTCCGTATCGCTGTATAAGTTTTGTATCAGGGGCCCCAGACCAAGCAGGTTTGGCATGAGGGGGTGGGGCAGCACCTCTTACAAAGCCCCTGTGTTCATGAATATGACCAGGATTCTCACCCTCTGTGGCCTAAGGCAGCAGGATGAGCTGGTAAGGGTACCAGAGGAGAGCTAGAAGGGGAGTCCAACTCCACCAGCTTCCCACAGACACACCATCGCCTCTGCATTGAATCTGCACCTTGGCCCGTGGGCAGCAAATGCAGATGGGAGGGACCTCTGAGCAGCCACACTGCCTGATTTCTGCATTTTATGGCTGCTTCGGAGACGGAGGTCCAGAGAGAGGAAATGCCTTGCCCCAAAGTGAAGGGATATCGAGATGATTATCTTACCACAGGGAACCACCAATGACTGAAATATAAGCCCTTCCACCAATTAAAACATTATTTCATCTCTGCTATATTTAAGCCATCTTTTAAATGCCCATTCTTTAAAAACAAGCAAAAAAAAAAAGCTTCCAAGCAAAGTATCTCTTTAACTAGAACAGTGTGAGCAGTCACCTCCCTGGGCGGGCTCCCGAGTGGGGAAGCACAGCACAGACCAGCTGACCCACCAGTTGTCGGGTGCAGATTGGGAGATGCCGCAGTACTTGGTGGCAGCGTGGTTGCTTGCTCAAACGTCTAACTCAGGGGTTCAACGCGTACCTGCCACATCCTAACTTTCCTTTAGAAGCTGTGCGTTAAGTATCAACCATAATTTACTTTATCCAGAGCCCCTGTGAACTTACTTAGGCTTTCAGCCTCCTAGTATTTGACATTTGAACCAGTCACAGACACCATAGGACTCTTTTCCTCTGCAGGTCCTACAGCTGGCTACCACCTTGTCCCGCACCCCCTAGCCCCCACCCACCTCTAGGCACCACAACCGAGGGGTCTGCTTTCATTGCAGCTGAAGGTTCAGCCACACAAAATCCATCTCGAATGCCTCAAGTAGCCAGAGCTATAGGTACCGAGTTTTTACCACAGACCCTGTTTTGAAAGATTTGGTCTAGCAAATGTACTGATGTTTCTCATTTAAAATAATCAAATTCATACCTGACTGCCCCTTAGTGTTTCCAAACAACAGGTGCCAAGCTGACTTGGTATTTCAACCCAGAAACAAAACGCATTTTAATTAGCAAGAACTGCCTTACCCTGAATGAATGTTTGATCCTGCTCCCCGACCTGGCCTTGCCTACACAATTATTTCCTTCTCAGTCATAGGATCTGAAGACCCCATGGAAAATGCCAGTACATAGAATTGATAGCACCAAGCTACCACACTGCCCCGAATTAAAAGCAGCCTGAAATCTGGCATAGCCACCAAAGACTTGCTGTATTGCCCTCCCAGCAGCTAATCTATGATCTGAAATTATTCCAAGGACTGAGGAAAACATTTCCCATGAGCAAGAAGTTAATTTACTTGCAGGGGGGAAATGAACGGCTCCCTTTGCTTTCCTGACCCTCCCATAGGCACCAGGAAACACCACAAAGTGACCCCGAAGAGAGACCCCAGACAGAGCCTTCGATTATGTAAGGTGGCCTAAAATCAGCCATGGGTGACAGAAATTCTGCAACCCATGGTGATAGGTCTGAGGACTCTTGAAGCTGAGATGCACCATCTATTTAAATGCACTCCCTCTTTTGAGATATGACTTGTTTTTTGTAGGTCACACTTTGGGGGGAAGTGCTGAGGTCATGTATTTGGTACAAATTATCAAACTTCTTTATACAATCACAGGTGAGAAAGTTAGCATTGAAAGGCCTAGTTTAGGAGAGCTCATGGTGTTAGGACAGGCTAGATACAAGAAGCCCCGTTCCCCTCATTCTTGCCCCTTGTACTTTATTTTATGGAAGCTTGAATTCTTTCCCTTTTGTGTTCTTAAAAAAAAAAAGCTTTAGCATCCGAGACCATCCCCAGAAAAGATTATTCGGAAGCCCCAATAAGAAAAATTCATTTTCCCACCAAATTTTATTAACTCTAACAAACTCCCAACCCACCAGAAAGCACTCAAAGTAATGAGAACTGGAAGAGGAAGGAGGGGAAAAAAATTGGGGTAACAATTTTCTTCTGCTGTCAGACTAACCCTTTTCTTTTAAAATAGTCAGCCAAATTCAGACTGGTGTCTCTCGTGTGCGCCCTCCCTCCAACTCGGCCACCCCCTGGGCTGGGAGAATCCCTCATTTCACTCACCCCAGCCTTGTTCACAAAGTGCAAGTGAGTCAAGAGACACCAGACCCTCACAGACCATAAACTTCTGAATACCCCACAGGGAGTAAGACATTCAGAACACCCATGTGATAAGAGCTCCTGCCACCTTACCTCAAAGTCAACACACTTGCCCAAGGTCACAGAGCTCGTGCATGCAGAGCAGGGACCCAAAGCCTAGCGGTCTGAGTCCACACCCAGACCATGGTTCTAGCCCACCTTAATGGTTATCAGGGTACATGTGGGACTCAGTGGCTTCCCCAGACACATATACCGCCCCCCAGCTCTGAGTCTTACTTGCAATACTACCCACCACAAAGCAAGACTTCCCCCTCTCTTGGAAGATTCAGACTGGCCCCCTAGAATGACTGATAATCAAAGAAGCAAAAAATGTCCCACACTTCGGGAGCCAAAATGAAATGCCACCATTGTGTTGTGAAACAGTCTCCTGGTTTTCTGAAATCCACAGAGACTGTTCAGATCATTTCCTACCTTCTGGTGAGTGTTAAGGACTTCAACCTCAGATGAGCTGGGAGACTTGGTGGCACTTTGCAAAGAAGGAACTAGAAAGGAAAACTGTTCTGTTTCTGGGCGTATACCTCATTCAGAGGGAAAGAAACTCTGGACTCTTAATTTAAATGTTTTCAAGGATTAGCCCTACACAGAATGCTTATAATCTCAGATACTGTCACAGAACACTGGGTCCTTTTCACTTATAAAAAGTGTCCCCAATGCAAACTGAAGGTGATAACTCCATGTGTCAACTTCAAATAAACCAAGGTATAAAGCAGCTCCAAAAGAACAATTCATTGAAAGGAAAGCCAAAAGGCAATTTACAAACATCACATGCATTTGTTTTATATGAACATCTCCAGCCACATACAGTATCCAAATGAAACTAAAAGGGAAGGAACTCACTGTACAGAAGACGAAACAATACCCTTTTTATTTTTAAAACTTTGGTGAAAATAGGTTTCCATACGACATCCCATTTAAAAAAAAAAATTAATGTAAACCAACCTGCCTGTGGGTTAGTCACACTATAGACTTCATCGTAGTGTGTGCAGATGCCTACAGTATTTACAAATGTTATCTGTTAGGTAGTAAAGTTTTGTTGCAATTTTTCCAGCACGCATTCCACAGTAAAATAAAGAGGGGATACTGGTGTTCTTGTATAAAAATTCTTAACAGATGGATAAAGGCAATTTTCCTGAGAGAAGATTTGTTCTTGAAATATTTTTCTTTCACAATTGGAAATATAGAAATGGGATGCGGTTGTAAAAGAAGTATAAGAATGTCTAAGTTAACATTTTCTTCTTTTAAATTATTTAAGTACCATTAAGTTAAAATGTTTACATTCATTATAAAAAATGTTGTTAAATCTTATGCAAATGATTTAACACTGATTGCTGCAACGCAAATTGCACTTTTAAAAAAAAATTATTGTTTACATGGAAGAAAAACATCTTGTTTGCTACCCTGTTTACAAAACCCGACTGACTTCAGATCAGTCACACAATATGCACTTTGAGAAACGTCAGTCACAGTGTACGTTACAGTCATAATGCAGTCTTGCCAACTGAGTCACAGTCCTGACTCAGCCTCCAGAGGTGTGTACCAAATGGTCTTCTCCATGAAAGCAGGTGAAATTCAGGTGTGGAAAAGGTACAAAGAAATTCTGGAACAACCAAAACCGATCAGAAGAAGCACATGATTTGGGGCAATACACATAAAACCTTTAAAAAAAAAAAAAAAAATCTCTCTCAATATTCCTTAGCAGGCAAGGCCCTGGTCCTAGTCCCGCTTTCTGGAAGTGGCACGGCGGACATGAGCTCCCCTGGCGGGCCCAGAGGCAGGTTGGCTGGCTGGAAAGGACCGTGGCCGGGGAGGAGGCGACATGCTGTGGGCTGCACTGGCCCTTCCCTGGAAGTTCTCCATCTCCTCTCTGGCTCTTCAGAGATAGGGGCAGGGTGAAGGCAGAGCAGGCCTCTCAGGAAATACATCTCTTTCAAAATAAAGGCACGGAAATCACGCATCAGAGGAATGTTCCATCAGCATACTCGCCCTGTGTGGCCGGCTTGACCAAAATCCCCGCAGGCCGCGCGCCCTCCTGCTCCCTGGCAGCAGGCTCAGGCCAGGGCAAGGGCGCACCAGGAATCCTGTCTCACCGAGGATGTGACTTCGGCCGGCGAGGCCAGGCTGACGCCTATGTACAACCCATCTTGACCTGAGTACTTGAGCTCGCTGTTCTCGGGGTTAGTGCTCTCTCCCGCACCAGACATCACTGAGGCGCCCGCCTGGCGGAAGAGAGGGACAGAGAGGGAAGAGAGAAGGGGAGAGACAGTTACCGATAAATTTGTCAGGCGGCACTCTCCTGCAAGGAAAACACCTGGGGACAAAGGCGGTGGGCAGCGGGGCCAGTGGCCTCACCCTTGAGAGCTCACGGCAGCAACCACCCAGCAAGCTGCTCGGCTGGACAAAGGTAGGAAAGGGCAACTGCCGGAGGCCGTTCGTAAGACCGGCCGAACTCCCAGCTCTCTGACAGCGAAACCAACCACACCACCCAGGTAAACGGGTCTCAGGATGCCCACACAATCTCATCATTTCCAGAGAAAGCACAGAGCGCCACCACGCCCACCCCCCCCACACACACACACAGCAGAGCCACAACCTGAGCACTTATGCCGAAGTCTAGGATGGAAAGCTACACAGCTCAGCAAGACCTAAGAAATGAAATTTTTGAGCACCGACTTCGGGGAAAATGAACTCATGCGTACACAGGTTTCAATACACCGCGTTTATCTTTATTCTTTGCAAGGAGAACGGGCCATTTTGAGAGCAGGCCACATTATAAAGAAAAGGCTAACATCCAGTATCTGTCATGGTTGTGGCAACATTTGTGGAAGCAGAAGATCACTGTTCTCTTATTTCATTCCTTCCTTCCATCCAAATGAGAAAGGCCAAATAGAAAACACGATATAACTTAGTAGAATCAAACCAAAATAACTAAAATCATGTTTAGACTACAGTTTGAGGAAACAGTTGCCTTTGACTTAAAAAAAATTAAAAAAAAAAAAAAAATCTAGCCATGACCAGTATGATGCCCAGGCTGCTCGGTGTGGCTCTGAGGACGGGTCAGTGACGTGCACGACACCCAGAGACACAGTGGCCGTCCACACACAGTGCCCCCGGAGGTTAAAGAATCTCCAACATGTCAAAAATAACACGTCTTCCTGGAGCATCTTTTACCAATCTGAGTTCGGGCACACGCCACCTCTGGTATCAGAACTCCACTCGTACATGTGCATCGGCCACAACTCCAACCTGCAGAACATTCCACCGTTCTCTCCAGCAACACGCGGTGCTGACTGCCAGGTACAGGAAACGCAGGCGTGTTTCCCTCAGGATTTATATGTATGTTGTGCTTGGTTAAGAAGTTACAGGATCTAGGGGTGCCTGGGTGGCTCAGCCGGTGAAGCGTCTGCCTTTGGCTCAGGTCATGATCTTGGGGTCCTGGGACTGGGCCCCGCATCAGGCTCCCTGCTCAGCGGGGTGTCTGCTTCTCCCTCTGCCTGCAGCTCCCCCTGCTTGTGCTCTCTGTCTCCCTCTCTGACAACAAAACCTTTTTAAAAATAATTAAAAGTTTAAAAAAAAAAATCTAGCCATGATTCCATACTTAAATCATGGGTTTTTTCCTTCTAAAAAGCTCAGAGTCTCTTATTTCTTCCTGGGTTTCAGGGTTTCATCCCATAAATTACTGGCTCTTTGCTTTTTGACACGAGTAGAATGTTTTGCGCTTTTCAAAAACATCCCTTTGTCTGTCTAAGTTGATGTGACATCTACTTCAGAGAAACATGGGGCACCAGACACAGGCTGAACTGAACCGAAGGCACGCTGAGCCCCCCTTGGCTCCACACAGGGGCCTGGAATCAATGTGGTCCTGCTCTCTCTGGAACAAAACATCTGCTTTTCTCTCTCATCCTCAAGATAATTGCATGAGGCTGGAAGGAGGGCTCTAGGAGGTCTGACTGTGGGAATTCCTATCTGCCCATCCCAACTTCCCAATCCAGCCCCTCATCACAGGTAACCAATCCTTCTGTTTCCGGGTGAAAATGAGGGTATGTAAAAATCCAGCCACAACAGTACCACCACACTCCAACTTCTTTTTAAATTAACACAAGACTTAAACTGAGGGCTCTGGGTGCATAAAAAAGCAAATTTCATGAAGTCACTGAGATGCCTAAAACTTAAAAACAGATTTTGAAATGGCTGAAATAATCCTGTCAAACACACCAAAGTGATGATTTGGTTACCCATAAATATGGTAATTAACAATAGCCATTAATTCCAGAAACTCCACCGTGAGCAAACTCAACATAGACCCAGATTTATCCCCCAAAGAAATAAACAAAAGGGTGATATTCAATTACAAAAGGACTCATTTGAGAAAGGAGCTACCATACTACTAATAAAAAGAGTGAGTGCAGGGCACCTGGGTGGCTCAGATGGTTAAGTGTCTGCCTTCGGCTCAGGTCATGATCCCGGGGTCCTGGGATTGAGTCCTGCATCGGGCTCCCTGCTAGGTGGGGAGCCTCCCTCTGCCTCTGCCTCTGCCTCTGCCTCTGCCTCTGCCTCTGCCTCTCTCTCTCTCTCTCTCTCTCTGACTCTCATGAATAAATAAATAAAACATTTATAAAAAAAAAAAAAGAGTGAGTGCAATTATAAATGACGTATGTCACATCCAATCTCATATTGATCTACCTAGTCCCAGAAAAAGCGCATGTGCATTTATCAAACTAAATCTGACTTCACCACAGCAAGTGTTAATTTTCTGAAACAAAAAGGGTACCTGAATTGGCCCAGGAAGCAGCCCACCTCACCTGGCCAGACATGCTCAGATAGCAGAGGGGTCGGTCACCACCTCAAGTCAGCAACAGGAAACATTAGCAAAGTGCTTATGAGAGCCAGGCACTGGGACCATGAGCCCCAAAGAGACAGTCACTCCCTGGCTGAGCTCCTAGGCCACATACACACGTGGAAGTAACAATGATCAACTGTCTATCATGAATGATAAATGAGTGGCTGAGATATGGAGTGGAGCAATAGATCAAAAAAGGAATCAAGACGGAAAGGATTCCTGGGGGGATGGGCCGCAAGCAGACTTCCAAGCACTACTCTGGTTCAGCCACCTACTGAGTAAGGTCACCTCTCCAAGCCTCCTCCTGGGTAAACTCGCCTTCACGTCACCCATCAGGTAGGGTTTGATGATTCAGTGCTCGTAAAGGATCAGCATGATGCTTCGCCACGGTAAAGATACTGGTGAGGAAAGGGTTTGCAGCATGGGAGGCATGTAGGACATACCAGAGGCCTTCTGAAACAGAAGGATAAGCAAAGGAGGCAAGGAGACAATGTGGGAGAGGCAAACTAGAAGGCCAGACTGAAAACTCTCTATGCCTCAGGTTCCTCACCTAGAAAAATGCAAATTTTTAAAAAAGATTTTATTTATTTTAGGGAAAGAGAGAAAGAGAACAAACAGGGGGACGGGCAGAGGGAGAAGGACAAGTTGACTCTGCGCTGAGCACAGAGCCCAAAGCAAGGCTTGATCCCAGGACCCCCCCCAAGATCATGACCTGAGCCGAAATCCGGAGCCGACGCTTAACCGACTGAGCCACCCAGGCACCCCTAAAATTCATTAACATACATAAAGCATTTCCAACAGTATCTGACAACAGGAAGGATGATACCAGTATACACCACTATTAGTTATTTTATTATTCTTGTTAAGGAGCATAGACCTAATTTGATCTCCCCAAGTCTGCCCTTCACCAGATGGGTTACAACCCATCACTTAGTGGGAGAAGTGGAACTAAATTCAGAGCTAAGTGAAAACCGTCTACCTCAGCAATGACCTTCTAATTGTTTCTGACAACTCTTCAGAACAAAAACAAAAAAGCAAAACTAAACAAAAAAACCAAGGTGCTTCCTTAGCCCTTCAAAAGGTTCATGGGCCTTCTTCAAATAAACTACACTGAAGAAATGCTAGTACCTTGAACATTATTCTTAAGCCTTGAGCAGTAACTCCAAAAGCTACCAACTCAACTACCTATTGTCTTCTTTGTTCAGTCAAGAATGTTGTTAAGCTATACGGCCGACCAAGACTCCTGCGCCAAAGGGCAGGCAAACCCCAAGTTACATGAGTGACTCACCTCGGCTCATTTGAAATCAAAAGCAACATCTGACTTTCTGAGGAAAAGATGGAATAAGTGCTTATGCCAACGCTGTTAAGAACCTTGTTTGTAATTGGGGATACACTATTTAAACATGAAATACTGCAATGTACAGCTTTTTTGTGTATCAGTCATACCGGAATAAAAAATAAAAATGTTTATGTAATGATACATAATGAGATCATAGTGATGATATCTGATGAGACCGTGATAACCCCAGTCCCCTCATCCACGGGCGGCAGGGCTATATTCTGGTACACTCCGTAGAAGGCAATTAGCAAAGCCCATCAAGAACTTTATACACTACTTAGTTCTGTAATCTCACTTCTGGAGATGTATTTATAAGGAAAGAATTCAAAGGAAGGGAAAGGCTCCACAAGGAAAGACATCCATTTCAGGGTAACTTATAATAGGGGAAACCATGGAAATAATCTAATGCCTAATAATATGGGATGGTTTGGAAAAGCAAGGTACATCCGCTCAATGAAATATTATGCAATTATTAAAAATAGTAAGATCATGTAGCAAAGTGGAAAAAATCCTGTAACGCAACGTTAACTGAAAAACAGCAGGATACAAATTGTCATCATTACAATTTACACACGCAAAAGTATTTCAAGGGAACCCAGTAAGTAGTGTGTGGGGACTATTAGTCATCAGTACCTTCCTTCGAATATTTTAATTGAATGGTGTAGTGCAGTCTAATTTTGGGGAAGGCAGAAAACATTAGCACCAGAAATATCACGCACAAGCACTTGAGGGGTAAGCCAGCCTGGAAAGAGTCATAAAGTAGCATGAAAAAATAGGGAGGAATCCGAGTGGAGGTACTAAGCTAGAGAAGGGAGGACCAGAATGGGCACCCATGCCCCCCAGAAGTCACCTCCATCCATGCTATCTGCCACTGTCTGGAAGCTGGCTGATGTGAAACATGGTTCCACATACGTTAAAACAGCAAACACGCTACAATCGGGTGCATCCGTGTCATCTGAGCTCTTGAAACCGGTATTCTAACTGTGTACGAAATCTAGAACTGGCACAACTCTCCTTAAGAAACCTGGCTTGTCACATCATTGTTTGTCTAAAGTGCCTTTCCCTCTTTGATGATGTTCAAGAGCTACCCTATCAAGAATCAGTACAGTCCAACTTGGGGGGAAAAAAATGAGAGAAAACTTACGACCCTGGACCCAGTACACACACAGAAAATTATAAGCATAAATTTCGATTGACGAATATGTTTTCCCACATCTAGTTAAACCCTTGAAAGGACGTTAGTTCATATGGAAGACATCTAAACACAGCAAAAGCAGGCATTTCACTAACGTAAACCAACCTAACCCCACCAGTGTTCCTGAACAGGCGCTCCGAAGGGAGCGTTTCAGAATGCCCACAGCTGAACCATCCTTCCTCCTCTTGGTGGGCAGCTCACGCAGGCGGAGGTCCTAACTCTTTCTCTGATCAAAGTGCATTATCAGGGTGGGGCAGAAATCTGTTCTGGGTTTCCATTCACAGCTTATCTGCCCTCCACCCTCCCACAGACAACTGAAAATGGAGGCACTTCCTGTTGAAAGAATGTGTTATCAGCTCCAGACTCGGCCGGGGCTTAGCACTGAACTCAGGCCAGGTTAGGTGGGAGACCCAGCTGAGTGACTGGCTGGAAATCTCCCTCTTAAAGGAATAAATGATTTCAGGGACAACCCGGGCTTCTGCGAGGCTGGGACATGGAAAATGTCCACTAGCCTGTGAAGTAGGCACAGTTCATCTTTAGATCACATGAATTTTTTTTTCCCTGTGGAAACAACTTTTGGACATATCTGAAAAGTCAAGGATTCCTTTTTTTTTTTTTAAAGATTTTACTTATGTATTTGAGAAGCGGAGAGAGAGAGAGAGCACACAAGCAGGCAGAGCGGCAGATAAGAGGGAGAGGGAGAAGCAGGCTCCGCGCTGAGCAGGGAGCCGGACGTGGGGCTCGATCCCAGGACCCCGGGATCATGATCTGAGCCAAAGGCAGACGCTTAACTGACTGAGCCACCCAGGCGCCCCCTGAAAAGTGAAGGATTTCTAATTTGATAAACTCCTGGAGTCAGTGCCCAGCAGTGTCTGGCTCACAGTGGGCTCACCAACCCTGTCAGCTCTCTCTCTTTTCCACTGCCTCACAGGCAGGCCCAGAGACAGCTCCTAAGGCACCTCTGGATAGGCAACTCTTCCAAGTGAAAAGAAACCCTTAAGGGACACAGCCATTCCAGAACAGCATAGGTTCTCTAGCTTGTGAACATCAATTTCATCTTTGAGGAAGGAAACCAAAAAGGAGTCAACTGGGATATGTTCAGTCCTCTGTGCTGTAATCTCTCTTAACGGAGCCCTGAGCTGAAGAAACAAAACACAGCAACCCCAGGGTGAGTGTGTGATCATTCCCAGAGCTTAAGACTTTGATGATGGTCACACTGCCTCCTTAGCTCGAATTCAGCCTGCCGGCTTCCATGGCCTCTGATCCGTCCTCCCTACATCTAAGTAAGTTTGTGGTTACGGCTTTTTCTTGTGTGAGGGGAAGCCAACCATCCCTCACTGCCAACGCTCTCTTCTCTGCTTTTGTAACCTCTAGGTTAGGCTCTCGCAGTGCTTTAGAGCGGCCTGCCTAAAAAAAAAAAAAAAAAAAAAAAAGTAACAACTATGTGTAAATTTCAACGAAGGAGGAACACTTAGATAAGTGAACGTTCACTCTGAAAAACTATACTCATTTCAGTTTGGAGGGAGACACGAAAGTGCCTCACTAAGAGTTTAGGAAGTGGCACAAGAAGATTCACAAACACACAAGGGTTCTGTCTCCATCAGGACCCGTGAAAGTCGTCAATCACAACAAAACCCTTTATGTCTCCCCTAACAGCCCAAATAACGCAAAAGAACATAAGCACCTTTTCTCACAAGAAGGAAGAGTACGATCACTGTAGCCAATGACCTAATTCAGTGTTTAGCAGAATATTTTCGTTATTTTTTTGTAATTTAACAAGCAAATTTAATGCAGAGCTCCCTCGCTATCCCCTTGGGCCCTTTCGTCCCGCCCCTCCTGGGCTTGAGTAGGCCAGGTTCTACCCATAACCCAGGATGCTGCCCTTTTTAAGGAGGGAAGAACAATTCTGCACACACAATCTACCCTGGGCAAAGGAGCAGATTGTTTTATACATCTGCACACATTCAAGTAGCAGGTTTGTAACGGTGAAGAAAGGCATAGCCCGAAGTTTAAGTGCCCTTGGACTAATAGTAAAATGCTGATTACAGGGGCTCCTGGGGGGACTCAGTTGGTTAAGTGCCTGTCTTTAGTTCAGATCGTGGTCTCAGGGTCCTGGGATTGAGCTCCACATTGGGCTCCCTGCTCAGTGAGGAGCTTGCTTCTCCCTCTCCCTCTGCTCCTTCCCCCTCCTCCTGCTCTCGAGCTCTCTCTGCACTCTCTCAAATAAAGAAATAAAATCTTTTTTTAAAATGCTGATTACAAACATAAATGGTAGCGGGGAGGGTTTGTCCCAAAACTTGAAGTCACTGGCATTCTAAAGAAAAAGTTTATCTTCTAAAATGCATCAAAATGGATGACCCTATTCTAGTCAAAGTCATAAAAGATCCTGGGGAAAGATTTAAAACCTGGTGAATTATCTTTTGTAACAAAACTGGCTTTTCAAATTGGGTGGGTATCTTAATCTCACCATCTCAATCAGAGAAAGCAGACCATGGTCCTAGAACCAAGCAGTATTTACAAGAAAGCATTATGGAAGTACTAAGTGTCACAAGGAATGAAAAACTGTGGCTATCAGAAAAATAAAAATATTTGTAACCTGGTTACTTTGGGGGCGCCTGGGTGGCTCAGTCGGTTAAGCGTCTGCCTTCAGCTCAGGTCACGATCTCGTGATCTCGGGGTCCTGGGATTGAGCCCCGTGTCAGGCTCCCTGCTCAACAGGGCATCTGCTTCTCCCTCTGCCCCTCCCCACCCCACACATGCTCACGCACTCGCTCTCACTCATTCTCTCTCTCTCAAATAAATAAATAAAATCTTAAAACAAAAAACAAAAACCCATGGTTACTTTGTTAACACAACAGCTCTACATCTCTTAATTTCCCCCATCAGGAAAGTAAGGATTTATTTCTAATGTCTTGGGATGGAAAAAAAACAATGCCATATAAATAAAGCACATCACTATTAGCTTCCAAGATTATATTTAAATAGTGCTGTTCTCCTTGAGCTTCAAAGAGGTCTGCAGGCATCTCCCACTTACGCTACACAATGCTCTGAAGGACCAGATGGTAGGAATTACTTTCCCCTTTTAGGAGGAGGAGAACAGAGGCTTTATAAAACCTTGGCAGCTGACTGTAGTCACACACAGAGCAGGATCTAGCCCCTGGCTGCCTGAATTTGTTTCCTCCCAGCTGCTAATCTGTGAACCCCCAGAATGAACTTCAGACCATGCCGAGGCTTCACCATGAATCAAACAAACAAGCTTAATCAGAGCTTTAAATTAAAAAGTATGTGTCCTTAGTAAGATAAAAGTAGGATTCCGGAGTGTGTGCCCCAGCTCTGGTGAAACCATGCCACGTTAACAACGAAACCAGCAGCAGCATACGGACCTGGGACTATTTATTCCCAAGACTCCTACAGGACACCGAGATCAATACCTGTTGTCTATTTGTTCAAGTCTTTCTTAAAATCTGAGGTCAACAGAATAATCTGTGCTCAGTCCCACAAATTCCAAGTGCTGGGTCCGGGGCCACAGGTAGCTGAATTACAAATTATCGCATATACCAACACCTATCTTTGGAGATGCTTTTTAAAATTATTATAATTTCAGGAAAAATTAACAGGTAGATCCCAACATGAACAAAGCTAACAGATTGTATTTAATTCATATCCATTAGATCTTCATATTGCTAGTAACTCTTTTGGCAGACACCCATGAAATGCATAATAAATTACTTTTGTTCCAGTAAAGGAATTCATTTTCTTCAAAGATTAATTTAGCAATAACATTCTAAGCCAGCATTTCTTAAATTTGGCCATGGTTTCCCGTAACATTATTTCATGTTTTGTGACAATTTGTATATTCTTACAGAGGCAGGGTGGAAAAAAAAAAAACTGCAAGGGATCTGTAATCTACAGAGAAACTTTGTGTTCTAAGATGAAGCCTTCTAACCTGAGGCCATGAGAAGGTGCAGGACACCCTGCCCACACTCCTTTACCTAGCATTCTGGCTTTCAGATTGTGATAATGAGTCACTTATTAAATAGACCACAGTCCTGTGATAAATTGGATGGACATATGTATTATAAACCATTTAAAGGATGATACAGTTGTGCTGACTCCTAACATGTATATAAAGGCATTGGATATTAATGTAGTGCAATGCATCTCTAACTCTTCCTCCTCACTATCCTCCCCGTAACACACAGGTGTGCACATACACACACATATGCACACGCGTTCTGGTGCACACAAGACAAACGGGGGAAGTCTAGAAAAGGCCTTGAGATCAAAATGAAAGTATGCAAACTCCACATGCTTCCATGTTCCCTGCCAGGTTGGCGTGTGACTTTCTCAGCAAAGGCCAATGTGGTCAGACAGGAACGTGAGTTATTAGAAGGAACTGAAAGAAGAAAGGGAGCCTGGCACGTAGGGAGGGTGAAGATAAAATGCCAACAAAATATTTACGTTCATGGCTTGTAGCGAGTGGCAAGTGGGATATTAATAACTGTGATGACTGGTCAACTCCCTGGGAGTGGTAACAGCCCTGGGACGGGGAGGCAGGAGACATCGGTTCCAGTCCCGGCTTCAACACCGGCTGGTTTTGTGACCTTATGGAGTCATTCTGGATCCTGGCTTATAAATGAGGCAATAATAAAACCTAACTGCAGCACTCTAACAGACCCTGGTGGGAGATTAATGACTTTTTAACTCTCTTTTTATTCATTTAGAAAACAGTGTCGTGGACCATAAACTCTGCAGGGAAATGGACACTTGCCTATTAAATGCTTTTTCAATGATTTCATAAAAACTAACTGTATGGCAATTTGAACATTCTGAACAATTCCAACTAACCTGGCACTCACGGTGTATTAAGATTGAAATCACACCATTAGAAGGATGTTAGTACTGCAACCTTGTATTTGCTGTTGTAAGAGAGCCTTTTAATAATCACGTTAGGTACCTCAACCACAGTAAATTTCACTACCTGTTACCTTTTTATTATCCAATTAACATATAGTCTTAGTACTATAACACAGTTTATTTAGAAATACACGAAAATTTGTACAATGTTCCTTATATATTTGGTTACAAGCAAATCACTTCTCTGGCATCATTTTCCCACCTGTTTCCCACCTGCAGGATGATTTTTGATGCTCAAATTACTAATGAAAATTAGTCAGATTTAAGAAAATATTATTTCTCTGAGGATTTCAGTATCATTTATCATGTCTTAATCTAGGATGACATACTAATACTAGTAATATACTATATGTTAGTTAATTGCATTTAAATAAAAAATTAAATTACAAAGTGAAAAAAAAATCTAGTATACCGTAATGATAAAACACTGACTGCCAGACCTGGGTCCAAATCCTCCCTCTTAATACGTATATAACCTTGGGCCTGTTACTTTGTTCTGAGTCTCACTACTCCCCCTCCCCAAATGGAAATATAACACCATAGGTTGAGTGGTAATTATGAATAAAAGAGAAAGTGTACATAGAACACCTGACACGTAAAAAGTACTTGGGAGAAGTAGGTTTCTGCTTTCCTATGTCCAATATCTTGTAAATGATAAAAGTATGGAAAAGGGAGAGATCTCCTCAAGAGCAAGAGTACAATGATAAAATGCAAGACTAACACTAATGCCCTGCTCTCCCGCAACCTAAAGGCTTCTATACCATATTCAACTTAAAGAGATGAACAGTAATTTTTTTGTCCCCCTCCAGGAGCCTCCTGAGTCAGAACTGCTCTGCAGAGTGAAAAACAACTTATACTGTATATGTGAGTCCTTCATGAATGTACCTTTCAGCTACTTAACTACTGTAGGAATAATTAATAATAGCAGGAATCATTGTTTTGTCATCAACCATAATGCCATAGTCAATCCAGTGTGATCCAATCACTTGGAGAAAGACAGTGGAGTATAAATTTGCTAATACAGAAGTAAGCTATGTGACTATAAAGTGGTGTTTTCCAATGTTCAGCACAGGATGCAAATATTAACACATAAAATCTATAAAAAAAAACTTTAGATATTAACCTACAAAGTACCTAGCCTTTCTTCAGAAGGCCTTCTGAGCACACCCAGAGACCCTACAAGCACTATGGGGTGCACATTAACTCTTTCAAACTACTTATAGCCCAAGATTTAGCACCACACAGCTCAGAGAAGTATTTCTTCTGACACGGCCGTTGAATAAAGTTATACCAAGGAGGGTCCGCAGTCGGGAAACAGGTCTATCCAGGCATATAGCATCCCAGAGGAATAAATGAGGGAGGAATGAAGACACCTATTTAGTATCAAGAAAATGACCAATCAGCAGGTAAGCCCCCCCACCCCACCCCAAAGGCGCAGAACCAGCCAGCGTCAAATCTGAGATGAGGTCCTTGTCTCAGTCTGAGGACGG